AATGTTTGTTTGTGGAATTAACATAACTCAAAAACCACTAGATGAATTGACACCAGATTTGGACACAATACACGTATCAGGCCAATGAGTAACCATCACTCATAAAAACACATCAGAAGAGACTTTAAAGCCAAAAAAATTACATTACAACACATGTGCAAAACCACATGTATACACATACAGACACACACAAAACACATATACACAGACTGGGTCACAGCATCACATGGCAGGGGATGGCTAAGGAAGGAAAATGTGAATGTCAGCAGTAAGACTTGAAAGTGGCAACCTCCAAAGAAAGAAGACTTAACAACAGTTCTCCAGAGTTTTCCCCCCTCTACCCTTCACTAAAATGTTTAAAAGCATGCTTTTGGGTTGGGGTAAACCAAGAATGGGCATGTCAAGACCCAGACCAGTCAGCAACACAAACGGCACTGTAGGAGTTAAAGTAAGGTGTTTAATGTCTATTAACGAAACAAAAGGAGACTCTTCAGTTCAGAGTAGTAAACAAAGGAGGCTTGCGGTCAGCAGGAATGTAAACAAACTGGTCTCAGTCAGCCTCAGCTGACGAAAGGAAAGTCAGTCTTAAACAAAAGCAGGCAGCTTGAATTCAGCAGGAAAACATAGTCCGAATCAAAGGCAAACAGAACAGCAAACGGCAATCCGCATGAAGAGCGGTCCAACGAAGTTTCCAGGATTAAACAGTGGCGTAGTCAGGCAGTCCGAGGGTCAAGGCAAGGAAGACTCACGAGTCTGGATCCAGCAGGGTTGTTCACACGATCAGGAAACACGAAGCTGTAACAAGAACTCAGGGCAGGAGTTACACACAAGGCACACGGCATGCGACACCTTGAACTCTGCGATTAGTCTGTCCCCAAGCTGCTGCTTAAATCTCATCCGAGTCGCTGGAACTACTGTCAGCTGGGTCCAATTCCTCAGGTGAATCCAAGCCACGCCATTGCTGCCAGTCAGCACTTCGAGCTCCATCCTGCAAAGAGTTATCTGCAACCCAATTATTATCAAAACCCTGGAATTCATCACTAGACGTGGGAGCGTTAAGTACATCCATTACTTCCTGAACTTTAGTCCAGTCCAGCTCTTCCTCTTCGCTGTCGAACTCCCCACAGTCTGCTACATCTCTCAGGCGTTTAGCAACAGATCCTACATCACTGTTTGAGCTGCTGGCTACTCTCTTTACACCTCTGTAATCTTCCAGCTCCATTTCCTCGTGAGTAAAACCCTCAAAATCCTCCTCATCTGTAGCCTCTAGAAACAAGTCTCTTATCCTTTTCAGCTGCTGCTGAGCTTCATCACTCTCTAACCTACGTTTCCTTCTACTACTAGTAGTAGGTGCATGAGACAGACGCTGAGTCTCAACAGGGCAACTTGGAAGTCCTTGAACAGACTCGGAAGTGGAGTGGGCAGATTAAAAGACAACCTGCAAAATGGCAAAATATCTAGAAGAATCCTACATCTTGTGAGACTGTGGAGCAGAACAAACAACTCCACATCTATATTCTTGCCCACAATGTCCTGCCTCATGCACAGAGGAAAAATTGCTTAAGGCTACAGGCAATGCAGTCACTGTTGCCCGTTTTTGATCAAAAATTATTTAGTCACTTCTGCTCCTTCTATTTTTATCGTTTTTATACTTATTTATGCAACGGGTTTGACATAAAAATAAACTCTTCATTTAAGTCGAAATAGAAACAGGTTTGTGTTAGAAATAAAGTCCAAAACTCAAATATATAATACACTATCAAAGCCAAGCATAAGAGTTCACTGTCATTACCAAATGGTAAAAGAATCAACATGAGAACATAATAATAACATGTACTATTTTCCACCTTTGAATACCCTCTTGTTCCCTTAAACCAGTGGTTCTCAACCTGTAGGTCCCCAGATGTTTTGACCTTCAACTCCCAGAAATCCTAACAGAGCTGGTAAACTGGCTGGGATTCCTGAGAGTTGTAGGCCAAAACACCTGGGGACCCACAGGTTGGGAACCACTGCCTTAAACTGTATCATCTTTTCTCTTCTTATAATACATATAAGACCCATGTCAGTCAATATTCATATTAAACATAGTACTTATCCCTACCACAATAGAAAAAAACATACTGGCCCCCCACATCAGATAGTTTAGTATAGTATAGTATAGTATAGTATAGTATAGTATAGTAAGTATAGTATAGTAACCATCATCTTGGCAAAGACTAATAACTTTATCCTGGCCTTTCTTCACCTCCACACCGATTCAGCATCTCCCAGAGTTCTTTAGCCTACTGTGATCTAGTGATCCTTATAAAGACTTTAAATATTGATAGGGTGGTCTTCTCTTGGCCCCAAATCCTAAGTGGTTCTCAACCTGTGGGTCCCCAGATGTTTTGGCCTTCAACTCCCAGAGATCCTAACAGCTGCTAAACTGGCTGGGATTTCTGGGAGTTGTAGGCTAAAATATCTGGGGACCCACAGATTGAGAACCACTACTTAGGGCTTTGTAGATCAACATTCATGTTCGGCTTGGTAAAGAGAAGATTGAATAGTTACATGGCTGAACTCTTTAAATACTTCAAGGGCTGTTAAAAAGAAGGTGGGCAGGCTCTTTTGATCTTTTCCAGAGGGTAGGACCAGGTCTGATGGTTTGTGGTTACAGGAGAATGGATTTCAGTTGAATATTAGAAGGATCTTCTTGACAGAGTTCTTTAGCCGTGGAAGCAATTGCCTAGAGAAGAGGTGGGTTTCTTCTTCTGTTGACATCTCCAAAAAGCTGTCTGCTGGGGATGCTCCAACTGGAGTTTCTGTACTGAGAAAGGAATTATTTTGAAGGCCCCTTTCAGTTTATGATACTATAATTTCCCCACCTTCTGCTTGGTTCATGAAACACAGATGTCCATGTGCAATAGCAAACATGTATATTACTTCGCAGATGTACACAAATAAGGGTGCGAATCCAGGCAGACTATTTTGTGATAGTTACAGTTACATGGTCATCTTACATTAAGAAACACGAGGACCCTTAGTCCTGGGGTTTGATTCCAGGAGTTCCCACAGATACCAAAATGTGTGGGTGCTCACATTCCATTACATAAAATAGTAAAATTGTGTCTCTAATTGCAGTCGGAAAACATGCAAATGTGAGTAGATCAATAGGTACCACTCCGATGGGAAGGTAACAGCGCTCCATGAAGTCATGCTAGCCACATGACCTTGGAGGTGTCTACAGACAATGCTGGCTCTTCAGCTTAGAAATGGAGATGAGCACCAACCCTCAGTTGGACATGACTGGACTTAATGTCAGGGGAAAACCTTTATCTTTACCTATATAAAATGGCAAAATCAAAGCTTACTTTTAGGGCTTTTTTAGCTGGCAATCCTGCACTGAACAGGGGTTTGGACTCAGTGGCCCATGGGGCTCCTTCCAATGTTATGATTCTTTAATTCCATTTATCTATAAGTGCCCAGTCTAGTGTTGAGAGAAGTAATGTCTTTTTCCTTCCTGTGGCTTTGGCACATTGCTACCCTGCACATCTCTGCCATGTGCAGCCACCTAGAGTCACCTCTGAGTAACTCCAGCTGTCACTATGAAGCCTCAGCGCATCTCCCTTGCGAAGTCTCTCACTGCAGCATCTGTTCCGCACATGCCTTTCCAGAGAAACAAAAATCAGTCTGGGTTTCCGCCCACCCTTCTCCCCCCTCACCATTGTCTTAGGTGGAATTGGAATTAACAAATTACTTCCCATTGTTTTTAGATACCACTCAAGTAGCATTATCACCTTCCGAAATCACTTCTTACAGACAACAAATGGGAAATGAGAGAGGAAAGAAAAACACAATCCAAGGGGCTGGCTCAGAGCACAGAATTAAATTCCTTCCTAGCAAGAGGAAGTGTGCATTCTCAGCCCTGAATAGACATTGCCAGATGTCCCTCTTTAAGCAGGAGGAGTGCCATTTATTTTATTTAGAGTTCCTTATTCCAGAATACTAGAGAGCCATAGACTGCAACAGATGTGTCTTAGAGCTACAATATTGAATGCTATTTAGAACAACGCCAAAAAACCCACAGCTCTGAATCACTATTACAGAATTATTATTATCATCATTATTATCTCCCCTGTCATTTGAAATTTTCCTGTAGAGATGAGGTGGTTCATCTAAAATACAGACTATCCTGAAGATTTGTTGTTAAAATGCCTTGTGTTTAGTATACCATCCAATAGCTGGAAAAAATGGCTTCCCAAGGTATGGGCGCAGCTGGTGCACAAGTTTTAATTGTGCGAAAGCTACCCTGGCCACAGGGGCAGCTCAACCCATTATGCAAAGTAAGCATTTGCAGTATAGTTGATTTTGCCCAGGGGCGCTCTTGAGGCGCTCTTGGGGGGAAATAGACCTTGACATATGTGAGTTGTAGTTACTGGGATGTATTCTGAACTCCACCAATGATGGAATTGAACCAAATTTGGCACACAGAACTCCCACGATGAACAGAAAATATATATCAGTGGTTGGGGGGGGGGGGCAAAATACTGTTTGGTTACAATTGAAAATTACCTAGGGCCGCCTCTGCCTGGCCACCACCGTGACCTGTGGTTCCAGGCTCAGCAATGAGTCCAGGAGAACTCCCAGGCTGTGAACCTGTGCCTTCAAGGGGAGTGTAAGAGAGCCCTTACCAAGCAGTGGCCACCATATCAGTTTCATCTAAAACTACACAGTGTCGCTGAAATTTCACAAGAGAAAGTGAGGGGAGAAAGGAGTCGATTTGAAATTCAGAGTAGTTATAAGCTCGCGATCTCATGTGCTAATGTTTTCTATCACAGTAAGACCCAACCTTTACTACACAGGTGCTTTCCCCCACTTGGTTAATGGTCTCTCCTTTTTCTGTGACAGATTTCTGCCTACGTATACTATCACAGTAGGGAACAGTTGAAATTGAATAGTAGGCTGCCGCTCAATTTGACAGAACTCAAAATCTCACTTGCCTCTTTTTGGTTTTCTTCCAGATGAGGAGTATGAGAAGCTGCCCTTGACAAAGAAAAAAGAGGAAGAGCGTCGCATCGCAGAAATGGGGCGCCCCATCCTGGGGGAGCATACAAAGCTCGAAGTGATCATTGAGGAATCCTATGAGTTCAAGGTAGAATATGGAGGCAACCACAAGCTTTTTATTACTGCAAAATAATGACAGCCCTTAGAATAAAGCAGCCCTCAAGGCAGGTCCAGGCATGTAGCCGGGGGGGGGGGGGGGGGGTGGGGCTTCAGCCCCCCCCCCGAAATCATGGTGGTTCGCGAAAAGGCCTTACTGTTGTATTATTTAAACTGTTATGTTTATTTGTATCATGATCTGATCACCATACTCAATATATCCCATATGCATGGGGGTTGATCCAAAAGGTTTGCTAGGCTAGAACCTCTTTCACTCAGACTCAGCCCCCCCCCCCAAACACTCAGCCCCCCCGAACCCCCCCTGAAAAAATTCACACACACACACCCGAAACGAAATCCTGGCTACGGGCCTGGGCAGGTCCATGTTTTTCTCACCCTCCAAAAATTGAATCCTGTGCCGTGCTAAGTCAAAACACAATGCGAAAGGAAAGACTGGTTGTGCAATTTGTGTACATCATGCAGATTATGATAATTAATACAAACCATGCTAATTTAAATTATTTGCCCTGCCATATTTAGTCGCCAGAGGAGGGTGACCAAAATGATCAAGGGTCTGGAGAACAAGCTCTATGAGGAGTGGCTTAAAGAGCTGGGCATGTTTAGCCTGCAGAAGAGAAGGCTGAGAGGAGACATACTGAGGACCATGTGAGGGGTCACATATTTATATGGAAGGGAAAGGAGATTCCACCCGAACATGAGGAAGAACTTCCTAACTGGGGGAGCTGTTCAGCAGTATAACTCTCTGCCCTGGAGTGTGATGGAGGCTCCTTCTTTGGAGGCTTTCAAGCAGAGGCTGGATGGCCATCTGTCAGGGGTGCTTTGAATGTGATTTCCTGCTTCTTGGCAGGGGCTTGGACTGGATGGCCCACAATATCTCTTCCAACTCTATTATTCTATTTACTTTTCATAATCTGATCATGGTAAGAAAGGACAAAGAATTGTGGTCAAATGATGGTCATTCTGCTGACAGAATCCAAAAAGTATCAGGATTTCATACCAGGCTCAAATGTAGACATCTAATAATGACTAGCAACAAGAAGCTAAGCCAGTTTTTAAATGATAAAAAAGGAATCGCTAGGTAAAATGGACAGAGAGAGTCCATTAGAGCTCTAGGTTGGATCACTGGAGAGGCCATTCTCTGCCTCTTCTCACCTTCACATGCTCTCTTTATGGAAGAAGGCCTTCTCAATGACTGCTCCCCATCTTTGGAGCTTTGGATTGACAGACCAAGCTAGTATTTTAACATGGTATTTCAGAAGACAGTAGGCCCTCAGCTTTCGTGGAGGTTAGGGGAGTAGGAAGGCACAAAATCAATATTACAAAACATGTTTTTTAACTTGAGAGAACAACTCTCTAGGAAACTCTTAAGTTCTCCAACATGACTATAGCGGGCATAGTCAAACTTGGGCCGGGAGGCTGTTAGACATTGTGGGAGATGAAGACCAAAACACTTGGAGGGCCCAAGTATGCCCATGTCTGCTCTATAGTGAATTTTCTCCAGAAATTGACCACAAAGTTGTGCAGGAGGACATAGGGATTCCTATAAAGAACAAATTAATGAAATGCATAAATACAGTAATCAAATCCCCAAAGTTATCTCTCATATTTAGTGAAGGATTTGTGGAAGTGCATGTGGCATTCTTTGTCCTTCCTTGCACTGGCAATACTAGTAATTTTAATACAGTATAGCATAAGCAGAGCTTGGTCTATAGTTTTATTGTACTGCCATTCCAAACAGCAGTTTTCTCTGAAATGCTGTTTGGAACACTAGTATAATAATTACCCAAAGTCTCTTTAGGGAAATAGAATTTGGAAACGTTGATGGTTCCTTAGCAACTTTCTCAGGATCTGAGTAGTAGTGGTTGAATGTTTTAAATTATTTTCATATCTCCATTATATAGAATATTTTCTGTACAGCTAATGGATCTTCCATACAGATCCTATATCCCAAGATCTGATCCCAGGTTTTCTATTTATCCCAGATTATCTGGCAGTGCGGACTCATATAATCCAGTTTAAAGCAGAAAAACTGGGATCATATCCTGGGATATAGGGCCTGTTGTTGGCAAAGAGAACCCAGTGACTCCCCATTTTAACCCCAAACAATATGTACATCTCTTCAATATAGCTCCCAAAAGCAATTTTCTCTATCATCAGACAACTGGATGGAACTAGAACAGCAAAGTTCAAAGATAGCAAAACAAAAACCTCCTGATTTTCATTTGTTGGGGGAAAGAAACTAGGAATCTCTCTGTGTGTATTTCATATTGATTTTACTGCAGCCTATTCAAAGGCTTGGTGGGAAAACAAAGTAGTACTGCTGCTCTGCCTTGTAAGACATTCCTGCATTCAGTACCAATGGAGAGGATCAATAGAAAATGCGGACAAATGCCTAATTTGGTTTACAGTGAAAGAAGTGTGTCTATAACAAGAAATATTCTGAAGTATTGGTCCAGTTGCAGGAAAGCAGCTGTTCCTTATAATATATAGGAAACAGCTGCCCCAGTTTCAGTCTCTGACATTTCCAGTTCAATGCATTGTGTTAACCAGTGACTTGGAAGACTTCTGCCTCGGATCCAAGAGAGCCTGCTGCCAAACAAGGAAAGAATTAGATGGACCATTATTCTGGCCTGATATTACATAGTTTTCTTTATTCCCACACAAAGCTTCGAGGTGCTGATTTATTTTTGGAACAAGGCTCCTAGAGTCCCCTAAGAGCCTGGAAATTAATCGGAGGTGCAATCCAAAACACTAACATTTCCAAGCTGTGTCCCATAGGCTGAAAAATATTTACGGGAATGGCCTGAGAACTGGATGTTTTTGGTACCAAAGTGGGGTTGGAGGCCACAAAAATCAAGGCTGGAATCCTACATGACCTTTTACATACTGAAATTTTACATATTCTTTACTATATAGCAGAGGCAGTAAGAAACTTAGGTCCCTTCCGCACAGCTAAATAAAATCCCACATTAGGTGCTTTGAATCGGAATATATGGCAGTGTGGACTCAGATAACACAGGGTCCTTCCACACAGCCCTACATCCCAGAATTTCAAGACAGAAAATCCCACATTATCTGAGTGTGGACTCAGATAACCCAGTTCAAAGCAGATACTGTGGGATTTTCTGCCTTGATATTCTGGGGCTACTTCCACACAGCTGAATAAAATCCCACATTACCTGCTTTGAACTGGAATGTATGGCAGTGTGGACTCAGATAACCCAGTTCAAAGCAGATATTGTGAGATTTTCTGCCTTGATATTCTGGGTTATATGGCAGTGTGGAAGGGCCCTGGGTTATATGACTGTGTGGAAGGGCCCTTGGTTACAGCAGTCCAGAGATATGTATTGGGATACCAACCAAAGTCCCCAGTGAACATTGATGCCCAGTGCTCATTGGCAGCAATGTCAGGCACACCAGAAAAATGCAATGTGCATTGAGACTGATGCATATTAGTCCTGTTGGGCAATAGAGCCATTGTACATGTCCCGCATTTCAGATAAGGGATATTCAACCTGAATCCTATGTTTTTCAGGGGGAGAAATCTGAAATTTCTACGTATTTATGCCTTTGCAGTCACTTTGACCCCATCTAGACTCTCATATGATGCCATTTGAAACTTCATTTTATGGTCAGTGTAGACCAGTAATAGGCCAACTTGGGCCCTCCAGGTGTTTTGGACTTCAGCTCCCATCATTCCTAACAGCCTCAGGTACTTTCTTTTCCCCCCTCAGCCACTTAAGCATACCTGGAAGGCCCAAGTTTTCCCAAACTCATAGAGACTCATATAATCCAGTTTAACTGTTCATATAATCCAGCTGAAACCACATTATATGGTCAGTCTACAGTGACCATATAATGTGGTTTCAAATTGCATTATATGGCAGCGCAGATAGGGCCCTTGGGAGGGCTGAGTGTTCCGAAATAAGCCAGCATCCTTTATTCAAGGGGCTTTTTGCTTCTGTCTTTGAACCCAAATCTAATTGTCTGTCTGTCTCTCTGCAGAACACTGTGGACAAGCTCATCAAGAAGACAAACCTTGCTCTTGTGGTTGGGACAAACAGCTGGAGAGAACAATTCATTGAAGCTATTACTGTCAGCGCTGGTAAGTTCCTTTTTTCTTTCTCCACATTCCATGAATTGCGAGAAGTCATTCTCGTGCTTTGAGAGCATCATGTCACTCCAGTCCCAATTCACTTGGGCAACAAGAGGGTTACTTTCAGAAACGGAAGCTAAACATGACTGGAAAGTTTGGAAGAAGGGGCAAGAAGGTTTTCTCACTTTCCTGGAGCTTCAGGTGTATCCACATTACACAATTGTAGCAGTTTGATAGCTCTTGATCTGCTTCCCTTCGCTACAAATCACTTCTAGCCCCCGGTGGCTCAGTAGGTTAAACCATTGTGCCCGCAGGACTGAAGACCAACAGGTCAGATGTTTGAATCTGGGGAGAGTGGGTTGAGCTTCCTCTGTCAGCTCCAGCTCCCCATACAGAGACATGACAGAAGCCTCCCACAAGGATGATAAAACATCAAAACATCTGGGTGTCCCGTGGGCAACATCCTTGCAGATGGCCAATTCTCTTACACCAGAAGCAACTTGCAGTTTCTCAATTTGCTCCTGACACCAAAAAAATCCCTGCTCAGCTATGATTTGACCAAGTGATGCTGGTCAAATCATACCATCTCAGTCTTAAAGGAAAGTAATGGCAAACTCCTCTGAACCAGTTAGGGTCAATAGTGTTGAAACTACAGGTAGGAAACTACTTGGAGACACATTGTAGGTTGGATGTATCCTTAGACAACATTTGGCATATCCGCGTCATCTTGCATGTATTTGCTAGAAGGCTTTACTTAATTTTCCCTGTTGAAGGAAGGGATTCTTTCAGCTGCAATACAAATATTAAAGCACAGAAGGATGGGAGATCATCTCTACGTCACAGGAGCAAACAAAACTAATGTTGATGTCCTGAGTTTTTGAACGAACTTCATTTTGCTTTTCAGTCAAATTATGTCTCCATTGAGTAGAAACATATTCTGTTGGACAAGGAGAACAGTATACAAGAACTGCAGTCACGCAACCTCTATTCATTTTAATGGTGTTTCCATAAGGCTGTCAAATAAGTCACTTGCGGACAGTAGACGCTCCAGTTCTGTGAGATGCAAGCCCAGGGCATGATCTAACTAAGAAACACAATACACAGCTAGATAGAATTTGGAAAAATTACATTCGCAGCTCCCAGAATCCACAGCAAGTAAGGCCACTCCTGGGTTTAAAATGGGGGGAAACTGGTACATTTCTAAATTGTCACCCACAAAATGTGGTGTAAAGGAACCCCATGCCCCCTAGTGGGTATTTTGGAGAATTTCAGGGCACAAAAAATTGGGAAAACTTGCGAAAATTATTTTTGACTGGAGGTGGAGAGGGGACAGGAAGTCTTCATACATAAAGAACGCATCCTTTGCATCCCCGAAAGTGCCCCAAAATCGGCTCTTGCGGGCCACATATGGCCTGCAGGCCGTATTTGCCCTGCAATAGAACATTTGTGATGTTTGATAACACAACAAGAAAAAGTATAAGGCATTTCTTCCTATGCTATGGCCAGTTACCAAGCATTCCGTAAGCTCCACTTAACCTATTTTTCCTCTCTCTTGACTTCAAAATTGAATGCAACAAATTTTCTGAACCTGGTAACCAATGGCTCCATTTACACTGCCATTACAATGCAGACTGAAGTGCATTATCTGGTCCGTGTAGACTCATATAATTCAGTCAAATGCAGTTAAACTGTTATATGAGTCTATCCTGATTATGTAATGCAGTTTGAGCTGCTTTATAATGACAATGTAGATGGGGCCAACGTTTCACTTACTTTTGGTTTGGATTTCTGTTGGTTTTTGTTTTGTATTTTGCCTTTAAAGTTGCCTTTTTAAATTAACCCTCGCCTATTCAACAAAGAACAATGAATGCAAGTTTTATTGTTTGGCTAATTACTATTTGGTATTAAGTTTATAGTAATGGCTGTTCTGTTTTCTTTGATGTGCTTAGTTTTGATGTAATTTGTTATTAAGTCTTTTTCCTGGCATTGAATGTTTGCCATAAGTGTTGGAAACCACCCTGAGTCCCTTTTGGGGAGATAAAAGTGGTCTATAAATAAAGCTTTACAATGTTGTTGTTGTTGATGATGATGATGATGATGATGATTATGCGGAATTGTGCCTTTGAAGTGTATGATTCTTTGTTTTTAAACTGCTCAATAGTATCTAGAGGTCCAAGAGCTACATAAAATATGTCTCCGAACCACAAGGAAAGGATGGGATGTACTTTGTAGAGAAAGAAAATGACTAGAAATTGTTTTCTTCCAACATAGCTATTTGTATCTTTGGCTTGCACAAGGACCTTGTTACCAAGAGGTCCTGATGGGAGTGTGAACTGTGGCATAATGTAAAATAAGCCCCGTGTATTTCATGTTGGACCAGCCCACACACTGCCTTGCTAGGGAAAGAAAATATGCCACGCAGATGAGCAATAAAAAAACAAGTAATTTAATTGTCTTAGTTCAGAACAACATATGTACAATATGATCAGTTGCATCAACTCACTAAATGTCCTTTTTAGAGAGATTTAAAATGGTATTTCTTTGTCCATATGAGTGACCGACTTTCAGCAGCCAAGAAGCAAATCAGTCTGTCTCTCTCTGCGTCTCTCTTCTTCTCTATGCACGTTCATAGCTTGAGCCTGACCAAAAGTGCAACAGTACTCAAAAGTTCCAGGCTCAGCCATCAATCTGTGCATTGCTCGACCAATCAGCTTCATGCATCCTATTTTGCAGTTAACACACACACACTGATTGTTTGCATGCTCGAACGTGAACATCACAATTTTATCACTATATCACTGCTCACACAAGGATGATGGTGCTGGTGTTTAGATTATTTATTGTTCTAGCATGCTTGATATGCTAGATATGCAGATGACACCACTCTGATGGCCGAAAGCAAGGAGGAGCTGAGGAGCCTTCTAATCAAGGTGAAAGAAGAAAGCGCAAAAGCTGGGTTGCAGCTAAACATAAAAAAAACAAGATTATGGCAACAAGAATGATTGACAACTGGAAAATAGAGGGAGAAAACATGGAGGCCGTGACAGACTTTGTATTTCTAGGTGCAAAGATTACTGCAGATGCAGACTGTGGCCAGGAAATCAGAAGACGCTTACTTCTTGGGAGGAGAGCAATGTCCAATCTCGATAAAATAGTAAAGAGTAGAGACATCAGACTGGCAACAAAGATCCGCCTAGTCAAAGCCATGGTATTCCCTGTAGTAACCTACAGATGTGAGAGCTGGACCTTAGGGAAGGCTGAGCGAAGGAAGATCGATGCTTTTGAGCTGTGGTGTTGGAGGAAAGTTCTGAGAGTGCCTTGGACTGCGAGAAGATCCAACCAGTCCATCCTCCAGGAAATAAAGCCCGACTGCTCATTGGAGGGAAGGATACTAGACACAAAGTTGAAGTACTTTGGCCACATCATGAGGAGACAGCAAAGCCTAGAGAAGACAATTACGCTGGGGAAAGTGGAAGGCAAAAGGAAGAGCGGCCGACCAAGGGCAAGATGGATGGATGGCATCCTTGGACTGGACTGACCTTGAAGGAGCTGGGGGTGGTGATGGCCGACAGGGAGCTCTGGCATGGGCTGGTCCATGAGGTCACGAAGAGTCGGAGACGACTGAATGAATGAACAACAACAACAACAGCAGCATGCTTGTAGGTTTCTCACAAAACACATTTGGGATTGTGGGAGTTATAGTTTGACAACATGCCAGGGCGCAATCCTGGAAACAAGCGCTTTCACAAAATAAATGCAGCCACCGGTTGCCCTGCAAGTGCCTTTCTTTCCCCCCAGCAACCCACTGCAATGACCATAGGAACAGGAACCCTATTCCTCCTCAGTCCTACAGATAGTGAAATCCCCTCTGGGCCGTTTGCCATGTTCCTCAGGGCTGGATTCCTGCCATTCCAGAAATGGCAGCCTGGGAGAAAATAACTCAGTGATTGCTTGACCGTGAAGATAACAGAGTGATAAATCATACGACAGCGTTTTATCTTCTGTCACTTTTCCCCTGTTCTTTCCAAAAGCAGCCAAGTGCAAAGACAAAGTGAGTGTCAGAAACTTTCCCAGGCAAGTATCTAGGAGAACATCACAGCCTCCTTCCTCATTAGGAGCATCCGCCCGCTGCATTGGAAGCTGCGTTGGATGTGCATTTCTCTTGTTTTTAATCCTTGCCTAGATTGCATCTGGGATGGAAAGTATGGTGGATGGGAAATTACTTCATGTACTTTAACTCTGCTCCATTTGGATAATGTATTGCATGACCTGAGTCAAATGAACAACAAAAAGGACAGATCTTATCTCTAATCCTACAGTGCTCTTAAGCAGCAGAGTCTTTCCATACATCTGGACTCTGTAGTGTTTCTTCTTTGTTGTTCTCAGGCTTTGCCATCCCTTCGTGCTTTTAAGGGTTGAGCTTGTTTGAAAGATGCTTCCCCTTCCTCACAGAAAAGCTGTTGCTACACTTGAGCCTGCTGCTCATACTTCCACTCCAATAGTCAGATGCTCTCTTTGACGCCTTTGACGCTTTCTTCTATTAAGGACTAGAATTGCATTTGCAAAAATCCACACATTTCTAATATATCCATTTTGTCATGGCTTGGAGACAACACAATTTAAGAAATTATCAACCCCATAGAATCATAGAGTTGAGAGAGACCCCAGGGGCCATTCCGTCCAATCCTTTTCTGCCATGAAGAAATACACAATCAAAGCATACCTAACAGATGGCCATCCAACCTCAGATTTAACACCTCCAGAAGAAATGCTACCACACTCTGAGGCCTCCTATTCCATTGTCAAACAGCTCTTACCATTGGTTATTCCTACTATTTAGGTGGCATCACTTTTCCTGTAATTTGAATCCATTGCCCTGTGTCTTAGTCTCTTGCAATTCGCAGCAACTTCCCATTTCACATGGGGGGGGGGGGGGCAATGCCAGCTAGCTTATAAAGTTTATCAGCAGGTGTCTGTTTGAGACATGCTGTGATTATTCTACATGTTTC